TCGTGGGAGAGCAAAAGTTTGCGAAAAAAGTTAACAAGACCTGTCTTCTCCAGACCTTCGGTGGCCTGCAGGCGTCCGGCCACTTTTTTGGGGGTTGTGCATAAAGAACACCAGTTCGATTTATATCCACCCACACTTCTTGTCATTAAGGCAATTTAACCAATTTCTACTTTGTAACACGGCAAACTTTCTAAAATCCGGAAACTTATAAGTTTAGGAAAGACAATCGGTTTACAATTGTGCTGTACACTTATGCAAATATGTATTCGAACGTATTGCATAAATATACATCTAATGCGTCTAATTTTGTCAAAATTTGCAAAAACAGTTTTGCAAAACTTCTCTTGACACATTCGATTTATAATTAAAAGGATAAAATCACTGATCACATTCATTACGCACGTTCCTTCTCTGTTTTTTGGAGTTATTCGCACCATCTTTTTTCTCTTTGCTACTAAAAATATGGGAAGATTCAGGAATTTATGATGCTCTGAAATTCCCTGGATGCTCATTCCTTAAAGAAAAATAAGGAATGGATTTTTTTCGTCCGAGTTGGAAAATAAAAGAAGAAATTTGCTTTCATCATGGAGAACAAATTGTAAGGTTTGAACGTCGAAATTTAGTATTTCGAAAAAATTTCTGTGTACAAATTGAAAAAAAGATTCCCAGGCCAAAGTTTGCAAAAACTTATTTTATTTTTCTGGTAAATACGAATATCTTCTAGATATGTGTTATACATCTCATTTGGGTATAAACACCTAGTTAAATTAGTCTTAAAGTTAAATAAAAGTTAAATTAATTTCCCTAAGAAACAAATTGTTTCAGAAATTTGGTCAAAATTTCATAACGTTGCATGACATTTTTCAATTTTTATTTTTACCCTTTTCCTTGACCGAGTGGACACGATTGCTCGCCTGCTGGAATCTTAGGAATGTTTCTCTCCTAAAATTTGCCAGGATGGAATTTCGACAAGCAATATAATCTCCATAATGGGTCCCCACCAACAAAACCTCAATCCTGAAATATTCCAGCCCTGTCCTTTTAAAGGGCAGGATTTCACTAATGGAACAGTTTATTATGGCAAATGACCTCCGGACGAGACTGGATTACGCTGAAATACACACGCAATTATTGTACAGCAACCATTAGACGAATGGAATGTGGCTTGTTCTTGTTGGTAGTGTTTTAGGGGCAGTTATTTACTATGCATTAAGTGTGTTGCATTTCTGAAAATTAATTAAAGGACAGTGGCCGCGGAAGCGTGAGGACAATGGGACAATGTCCCCACGATTATTCGATGTCCCCGTCGCTTCTATGTGTAATTGCATAAAACACTTTTGCATAACACCCTTATGGCATAAAATTTATTGCATGGATTATGCCTGTCCATGTTAATTATAATGTATAAACATATCTTGCTATATTAATGTCCCCAGATGTCCCCTCACCTTCCGCGGTCACTGAAAGAGAGCTTGCTTATTAGCAAGAAACGAATAAAAAATTGTGTAAAATTCACGCCGCATGTAACATTTAAAAATGCAAAAGTTTTTTTTAAATTATGCAGGTTTGTTCTAATCCGAACGTTGAATTTAGTCTGCATATTAGTTTTCATACTTCCCAGTCATAATTTTGTCAATTATTTATTTACGTAACCATTTTTTACTTGGAAGGCTTACCTACATAACTTGTCGCGATTACAGCCAATGTTCCCTTCTCGAAATAATCTTATGTATGCAGAGTGGGAATTCTTTGTTATTTAAAGGGGTGCAGAAACAGCAATAAAAATAAAACCAAATCGAACTTTTATCGAGCCATAAAGTCGACTTTTGTCAACTCCCAAGTAAAACGGGGAGTCAGCATTTATTCCCATTTCATGTTTCGAATCTGAATTTCGATCCGAATTTATTTACAAGGCCGATCCAAGTGGTTTTTTTATTCGGGAAAGAAGATGGTGTGATGTGTAGGTTGGTAAGCTGGCATCTCGCATATTTGGTGCTGGACAGAGTATTTTTGAACATTGTTACGATTTTGTATAAAGTTGTAATAAGTTTTATAATTTTTTGCACAATTCAAGTTTTGTAAAACGCAATTAAAAATTGTAAAATTGTTTTAGAAAACTATTTTACAAAATTTTACAAAACCCCTCGCATGACATTTCATCAAATTCTTATGGAAGTGCTTGTAATTGTTGTAAAAAATATTTTACGGCGTTTCAAGAAGCAAAAAATTACATTGTAAACTCTAATCTTGCAGAAATATCGGTTTAAAATCTTGATCTCAAATTTTCACGAAAATTACGGTGCCAAATTTATTAGTAAAACAGTAAATATTTCAAGGTTCTACACAAACTAAACATAATCACAAATAAAACTCTCTAATTTTTATCCAATTTGATTATATTTTTATATTTCCGTAACAAAAATAGAAAACGAGTCTTTTGTCAGGAAATTTATTTGCAGATTTCCTCACTCTCCTCCCAGTCTAAGGAAATTGGGTGATAGCCGGTGACAAGGTACCGGACTTTACCGGAATTTAAATAGAATTGCATCGTATTAAAGTAGAGAATTATTATGTAATAAAATTGTCTTGTTTTCGCGAAATGGTGAAATATTTGTATGTGTGCGAGGAGCTGCTTAACCCTTGGAAAGGAAATGATTGCTTTCTACTCGTCTGCCAGTCGAGATTTGATTTGATTCTGCTTTTCGAATTATTTTGTTTTACAACACAACATGCAACACTGCAGAACTCACGAAAGGCGGGTAGTAAAGCTATAAAAAGTTTATGTCACCCGGCTACCCGGTCCGAGAAATGGTCGAGCTCACGGTGTTGTGTTCATTTCATTTACGAAACCAATTTCATGGCCGGTGTTTAATTTGGGAAGAAACGAAATGAAATCTGGATTGGATTTTATTATCTTAAATCCAAGTGGGAAAGAAAAGTTGGGTTTAAGATGAAACAAAATATTGGAAAATTTTACTTTACTTGAGACGAATATGCTTAAAAATTTCGAAATTTAATTTGAAAAATGAATACAAGTCTTATTTGGAATTTTAGCATTAAAAAAAGTTCGTAAAAAGTTCGTGAAGTTTCAGAATATTTTTTAAGAAATAAATACATATTTTATTTGACAATTTTACCTGTACGGACTACAAAAATACAAGTTTGTGAAATGTTTGAGGTATTTTAGAATATTTAGAAACTAAAATTTCCAAAATTTGGAACCAAATTTCCTTTAAATTTAAATATAAGATTAAAAAACGTAAACAAAACTTTAAAAGTTAGGGTAACTCAAATTACAAATGTTCAAAGCATACGGTTGTATTTTTTGGTCCAGCTAGTAAAACTGGAAGAATCCATTTTCTGTCAAAAAGTGAAAGTTAAAGTGGCAAAGGTCTGGGTTTACACGGAATCAGCATTTATCTACAAGGTTTCAACTATGAAAACGAGGTCAGCCTGGATCAAGATCAGAGAGATACAAAGTCGAGGTGAGACTCGCACTTTGTCTCGCTCTTTACAAGGTTATACCAGGGAATAAATTATTCTTTCGTGATAAATGGTGGATGGAGGACGATAATGCCATCCATTCGGAAATTTCATAAGCATCGAGCGAAAAAATAGCTTGAAACCTATATTCAAATTAACCATACACTAAATATATTTTCGTATTAAACAACGTTAAACTGTGACAAAATTAACTTTTCAATGACACAACTTTTACAAAATTCGAACAAAATTAAAATCGATCCATCTATTTGCTTAATTTTAATTGATCATGTACTTATTACAAAATTCTTTCCACAAAAAATCATTAATTTTGAAACATTTCAAATATTTATAATCAAAAAGTCCCATTCTTATTTAATCATTTTAATTTTCTAGCTTAAAACTGCATGTAAAATAAATAAATAAACCGCCTTTTTCAAGTAAATAACAAGACACGATTGAATTTGCACTTTTGTTTGATTTAGAGTAAAGTGCGTTAAGCAGTGTCGACAGAAGGAGGAGCACTTTTACTTCATTAATTTTCTCCAAAGAAAACAAATTTGCTGCCGGGAAAGCAGGAGGGAAGGGTTGAGTGCTTTCGTAATGCATCCTTACCAGCAAGTTAGTGTAGGTATTGATTAAGATGGAAAATTGAAAGCACTGCGTACTCTGACTGTGATTTCGTAACTATGTAAATGTCAATTGAACTTGACAACAAGGAAGGCGAACCTCTTAAAAACCGGTGGTGGAGGCTACGCGTAATTTTGTCATCTAAATATATTTTGTCAGTGAGCTCTGTTACAAGAAGAAACTCGTCTTTTCTGAGCAAGCTCATCAGATTTTACATGTCTTGAAAAGTAAGATATGTTTTATCAGTCTAAAAAATTGAATAAGATGAGATGAAGATTATGTAATGTTATGTAACCGGATTGAAAGTCATGTTTTTATATGTATCATGAAAGTTATAATCATATCATTTAATCGATGAATTACTTTTACGAAGAACGGGTTTTGAAAGATGATCATCATCTTGTTATAAAATTTGCAACATGTTGCTCATTATGTTGAAAGGCTAAAGTTCGAAAAATCTGTAAGCCTATATAGAAAGCCATTTTTTTCGTATACCGGAAATTACTTTTACCTATCTTAAAAATCAGACTTTTCATAAAATTGCAATGGGTTTGAAGCGGAGTTTTTTTTCAGTCGATGCCCTAACATGAAATTTAATAATGACAGGACACTCTTAAAATTTCAATTGTGATGAAATTAATATTAAAATTAATATTGGCGATGTATGTACATAAGTTTTAGTAACTTGGAGGCGTCCTGAAGCTGAATTTATTTACTTATAAAGTTTACATACGTCTAAGTTATCAGGGTTTAAAATTTCAATTTTCATGAAATTAACATGAAAATTAATATTGGCGACGTACATATTTAAGTTTGCATAAGTAACTTTATTGAGGGGTGACCTGAAGCTGACCTTACTTATAAAGTTTACGTGTTTGCAGTACAATGCACTACAATGCACCTTTACTTCCCCATCCAACTCCATTCAACTCTCAAAAGTGGGCAATACCAACAGGTGAATTTTCCATGAATAATGGGCTCTTCCTTGTAAACGTGAATTTAAACCAGGAGAACCACAGTCTGAAATACATACCACTAACCAACCAACTATATGCACATACTACCTGTCGACACACAGAATGGACTTTCGCTTCAACGCTCAACTGACTGACTTCCCTTCCCTTTTTGGAGGTAAGTGTCGTCTTGAGAATGGAATTCTGGTGGCCACGGCCAAGGTGAGAGTTGAGTGACATTGGCCCAATTTCGTGAAGGTGAATTTTTAGAGGACAAGGTTTGCCTGGCCCAGTTCCTTGAGGATGAGTCTCGTCGTTATGTATTAATAACTTGATTTACTTTAATGTGGATGCTCCAGGTGGTTAATTGCGATGATTGTTTACTACTTGACGAGCGTGTGCACATTTCACACACGGTAAATATTTTTTTACAGAAAAATTGCTGGAAATTATACGAAATTAATTTTGATAAAAGTATTTTGTCAAAATTCTTCATTTTTTGTAACGAATTTTTACCTGTGTGGTTATGTTTTTAGTACACTTTCCTCTAAGAAAAGATACAACCTCTAAAATGTGTGATCTAATTTTAGGTTAGCTAATAAAAATTAAAGAAGAACCACTTTCGTCGCATTAATATAGCGTCAATGGCAAATTTTTGCCTAATTCCTCTCCAATGAAGTAAATCAACTTTTTTTTCTTGTAAACCAGGTAAACGGTTCATTTGAGAAGAAGAAAGTGTGGGCAATAAAAGTGAAAAATGTTGGAACTTTCTGAACTCAGCTCATATAACGATTTTCACGTCGTTCGCAATATTTCAAATAAATCTGGAGCAATAAAAGGGAGAAAAGTATGTACACGTGATGGGGTAAATTTTTATTTAAATTTTGAGTGCTATCAGATAATTCTCCCTTATTCGCAATCGGCTATAATAATAATGCAGTGATTATTTTTTTTTTATTGTGGACAATCACCAGCCATCCAGTGACCCATTTTACCGCACGGTAATAGTTTGTCACCGTACTGAGATAAAGTAACACCAGAAACATAACGAACCCCATTTAAATTGGTTTGTTACCAACGCCTTACATTTTTTATTACCGGAATTTTAAGAGGGACTTTTGGGGAACTAGTAAAAATTCGGCAAAAAGCAATCACACGCTGTATGTTGGGTAGTTAATTATAAAGTTAATTAGTACAGAGAGTTCAAAATGTATAACCACTTACGATTTGATGTTCGGCCGAAAGTCGCTGCTTTCTCCTTTGAAGCTCTTCATATTTCAGCTGAAATTAAACAACAATTTGAATTTTAGACACTTCATAGGATTAAAAACGTTCCAAATTATGCAGCAATAAATGTTTATGCAGGGATCAATTGATATTATTTTTAGTATTGCGACCATTTCGTTTCGTTTCGGTGAAGTGCGTATATAAAAAGACTGACCTAATTGAACTCTAAAATGACAACGACCGTTGAATGAGAAACCTTTTGCCTAATTTCAATTTCAAAGATTTTTTATGTACGCAAATTTTTACTGTTAATTTTCATAAAAATATATATTGCGCAGGTAGTATGCATAAATCTTGTGATCTTGGCAAAAAAAAGTATCCTCAACATACTTAACTTGCACATACTCTGTAAATTGTATCCTCTAATGTAATGAACCAATTTACTTTAGATAAGTTGTCAGGATGCATTCTTCTCTCCTGCAAAGAAGAAATGAAGTGGATCATGAAAAGAGAAAGTGAACGTTTGTTTTGAACTTGAGACGATGGAATCCATCCTCTCAAAAGAGAAAGCAAAAATGAAAATGGGAATTGTGAAAGTGAGCGAAATTCATTTCTGGATTCTATACTTCACTGAGCATTTCACAAAGATCTGTACCGTTTCCAGGTTGCTCATCAAATATTCACAACCCACTTTGTCCGGTGAACGCTCCAACTATTTTTACGGTAACAGTTTGTTACCAAGAGTGAATTTTTATATCAATCTGTCAACGAATTATTATTTTGCGGAACTATTATAAATGCAGCTAGGTTGATGTTCTTACTCGAAATATTGCAAAATTAGTTAATTTTAATATGACTGACTATTTTTGCGTATTTCATGCAATAAAAAATTAATTTTGAAATTACTGATTTGTTTACATTGGTGGATAAAAATTTGCCACCGATGATATGGCAAAACTTTAATACTGAGTTATTAACTTACGGTATTTGTTATTCATATCTCGTAAGTAGCATATTCATAGTTGGTATTATTTTAATACAGAATTTGTAAAAATGCGCCTAAAAAATTTCGAAAATAATTGAAAAATTAAAAAATCACGGAAAAACATCAAGTATTGTATAAAAATGCCGTATTTTGCTACAGTTATTTGAGCCGACTCATCTTCAGTGGTGCAACCTTAGTCCTCAAAAACCTTGAAATTCTTAAATTAATTTTATGAATTTTAATTTAAATACAATTACGTCATCTAATTTGACACTTTGTAACATATTCTTTTACAATTCGGATACCTAATTAATCCAAACCTAAAACAAATAAATATCTAAAATTGTGAATTGCAACTAAAATTGTGAATTGCAACTAAAATTGTGAATTGCAACTAAAATTTATGGACATATTAAATTACGACGTCTAACTGTTACAATTTGGACTTTTAAAAAAAATAAGTTTGGACAACTTACTCTATTGATTGTCTCGATGATACGTTCATTCGAAGGGAGAGATGCTAAAGGTCCGCCCCCACGGCAGCCACTCTCGATCGGACTTTGGCGATTCTGCGACGAAAGACAAATTTCGTAAATTAATATGTGCAAAATTTGTAACCGTGATTTGCAGTTTCAACTCCATTTAATTTCATGTTCACGCCAATTTATACAAAATTTCGGGTTTGAAGCTTTCAACGAATAGATAAGTCCTGAATAGAAATCCATATGAGTGCATATTAATAAGATCACGCCTCCTTGGTGAGTAACAGGCAAACACTTCATTCCTTAGTAACTTGCGCCATAGTTAAAAATAAAATTGGCTCAGGGTCAGGTATAAATGTACCTACAAAAATAACACCAAAAAAATGGTATAATTGGTGTTTGGATTGTTGCGTAAGAGAAGGGTTTGTTCAATCATGTAGATTATAATTACGGAAAAAATAACATTGACCCACTTCAAAGTGGAAAATTGCATTTACATATTATTAGTTAATCATAAGAAAAACAAGGTGAGAAATATTGTGACAAGTAGGAGATTTATGTAGTTAAAATGTTGCGTAAATAAATTTTAAGGTATTTCTACTTGATAATTCAACTCAATTATTCAATTTCTACTTGATAAATCTACAACTTCCGAACAAACGTAGACAAATTCGACCATTTACTTTATCCGATTACATTAGGCTTCCGATCTCTCGATACCAATTTCCAAATTCAATCTCACATATTATTTATTTCTTGGTAAAAATAAGGTTTTGTTTGTTGGCGTAAAATCGCCCCAATCTTTCTTATCTCACACCCAGAACAGTAAACTAATTAAATTTGAAAGACCAATTTTAAGGCAGGAAACTTGGCCAAATTTTGCAGAAATTAGTGTAGACAATTTAATGCCTATATCCTTGTAAACTTTGCACATTTCGAAAATTCATTTTAATCCGATAAAATTTGGACTAAAAAAAAACTGAATTTCTGTCTTACCATTTTTTATACATTTTTTAAAACTATATCAAATTTACACAATTACAAAGCATAACGTGAGTTTCAAAATTTCTAAGGATCAGTTGACTATTGAGAAACGAAGATGTTTTTTATAAGAAAACAACGGTTAATATACCGGTCTGTATTTACTTCTTGAAATAAAATTTCGTCCCTGAAATTCCTCCACTAATGTTCCCTAGTTGAACTGAACATTCTTAATGAAAAAATATTGAAACTTCCTGGTTTACTGTTTTCTTTGTCCAACATGAAATTTTCGCTTTCTCCACTTTCACCACTCTCTCACATTATTCATTCCTTTTTCATGGAGGGAGAACAAGATTAATGCTTCTGTTCTGTTTGTTGAAGCAAGAAGGAAGGATCCCATCCACACTTTTGTACATAATGGATCGGAGGCCTCACAAATTCAAGTACGCCGTAGACAAAAATCTTGTACTCCAGAGTACTACAGACTCCGACTTATATTCATCCTCTCTTCAGTTGGGGGAACAGAACAGGAATTAATTTCAGAGTTAATTAGTAAAATGAATGCGCCTCATTAACATAATCTACGAAAGCAGGTAGTAAGATCTATTACCGGACTGTGCATATATGTTTATGCATCTGAATTATATCTTTAGTTTGTCACCAAAAAGCTATTCCCCGCGAAATTAAAATTTGTTAATTAGATTTATGTATAAAATTACAACGAGGCAATTCACGCAGGCATTTGTAACTTCTAAAATTTTTAAGTTAAAGTTCAACGCCAAAAACTCAATTTAAGATTATATTCGATTTAATGAGATAGCTAGATACTTATTCGCAGTATAGAAAGTTTGTAAAAACTAATTTTACAAACTTTTACAAAATAAAATACGTCCTTCAGTTAGGCAAGTTTACACAAATTTGTGAGCTATGTAATTTTCTGAGAAATATTTGTAAAAATTTAAAAAAGTTTGTAAATTTACAGAATTTACGGATTTTATAATGTTACCAAGGACTGCGTGAATTGCTTCAATGTTGAAAATGCATGTGAGAACATTTTGGTTGGCTAAACTGGTATTTACCAGTTTCTAATTACCATAAGTTTCCGAATTCTATGATTTGTCATTCCAATTTAAATCTAGTAAAAAAGAATGAATAAAAACAAGAACAGGGTATTTACTCCATAGTTTCCTTTTGTAACCCTAATCCTTAAATTTAGTAATGTTACGCAAACGAAAATGAAACCGGAATCAAGCGAGCTGTACGAAATCAGCGGAAGGAAACAGTCGAGTTGACTTTCTCCTCGTTCCTGCACCCATAATTCATGCGGCATTACTGCATTATTACCACCTCGATCTTCCACCCTCACGTTACACACATTCATACGTACGTTACGCTACATTTTCAACTCGTGCGTCCTCCAGGGATTTAATCAGTGTCATTAAGACGACACTTCATTTGTCTTGCTTTCTCTCCCCAGAAAGAAAACCTTCTCCCCTCGTGTTCCGTCTACATACTGGAGTTTGTCCCGTCAAAATATTGGGCCTACTAAAGTCAATGTCTTAGCTCGAAGTTGGACAGATTTTTAGTAGTAAAATTATATTGAGGGTATTCATTTCGAGTTCGCAACATTCGCAAAAAAAAAACAAAGTTCGAAAGTTCACAAAAAAATTGGCTTGAATATTGATTTGCATACTAGTGCATCTCCTAGGCTAGTGTTTTAGTTCGCAATTTTTTTCAAAATTATGTTGCGAACTCGTAATGAATACCCTCATTACGAAATTTATAAATTTGATAAAATATAGCATCGATTTAGAGTTAAGAATTTTCTAAATTTTGTTAACTTTGCGAAATCATAAATTTGAGATTCTTTGAGATTGGAACAAGACGTGAGTACCCCCAAAATAAAATCTCTCGTGCAGGGAAAAGGAATCTAAACTGTTGTTGTCATCGGAGAGAAAGTTTCCCCTTACTTCTCACTCGATCAGGTTTGATTGGATGGATGGATTAGTGTCAGACAATAATGTTTACTTCTGTCTTGGTTGCTTTCTAATTGGAATCGTTCATAGGACCGTGCATGAAGTGTGGGAACTGATTTTTCTGGAAATTTCAACTCAACTGGTGAATCATGGTGTATTATTTTACAATGAGAATGATGGGATAACTTGACCCTTATCTTCCCTAAAATTGATAACATGTCCTTAATTTCTCAGCTGATCAAATATAACAAAGATGAGAAATAAAAAATATTTACAAAAATGCTGTAAAACGCGTTCATTTTTCATTTGGGTATTTTTTTCAATTAAACATTCTTGTCGTTACAATAATGACATTTTTTCACAAAACTGCCCAAAAGCATACAAACGAAAACATTAATACAATGCACACATGCATTCATTACTTGCCGCAAGCTGAGCGTTTTTCTAAGCAGAAAATTATATTCCACAGATAAAATATGTAAACTACTGATGATTTCTCCTTTCTTTGATGAAATTCAGTTGAACAGACAAATGAAACGAGCACAATTGGAAGACTGTCGGGAATTTTGGGCTGAATTGCATCCCTGTTTGACAAGTTGGATCTGCTTTCTCTCCTTCAGGCTGCTGCTTCACTTGTTGTTTACTTTTGCAAGTGGGGAATAAAAATATAGTGAAAGTGGGACTGAATTTTTTCCATGTCTCTTACTCTCTCTCCTATGCAAATGTTAATGTAAATTCATATCTATTCTGCGGAGAGGGCTGAATTGGATTACTTTCTTCAGAGTGAAAGTCTCATTATTATTATTAAGGGGTGAAAACGCTTTATAAGATCGTTATGTCCGTCTGTCCGTTGGACCGATAACCCGTGAACGAGAAGTCATAGAGACATGAAATTTTGAAATTTGAAAATTTGAACTTTGAAATTTGAACTTCTAACGTCAAGGAACAAGACGGGTTCAAAGATTGACACCATACGTCACACCCTTCAAGGTCAAAAACGGTTAAAAAAGGTCACCAAGTTTTAAATTTGATATATGCATCAATTTGAACTGAAATTTTACCCCGAATTCAATGGTGACCTCTGATGTCACAAAGGTCACCAAATTTTAAATCTGATATAGATGTCACAACTGTCGAAAATACATCATCCGTATCAATTTTAACAGATTTTGGACGGACAAAACCAATATGACATTCTTTTTAACGCACAACACACTGCTTTCACCCCTTCGTAACATGCGTTGTAACGGTTTATTATTCTCTAGTACTGATTCTACTTCGAGGATGGAATTGGGTTTGGATTTGCGACGGTTGAAAGGTTCGAGTGAAAAGGAGTTTTGGAGCGTGTTAATGTTAAGGGGTGATCTGATACAGTCTCACCGCTACCTGACGGGGAGTGTGTAACTATGTCCTCCCATAAGCTCCCATGTTATCGTTTTAAAAACTTTCAGCGTGGTCAAAAGACAATAAAATTTCGATTTTTTTGCATCAATCGACGCATATATTTAGTCTCCACGAAGTTACAGAAGTTTTGATGGATACATTGAGTATACATGAAAAAATGCGTCTTTTTCTGATTTTTTTTCGTGAAAAGAATTATGGTGTGACCATGAAAGCGATTTTAAGGTCAAACTCCAGTAACTTTGGGAGTTGAATATTTTGACACATTTTGCAACAAAAAAATCCGATATTAATGCAAAAATAAAGGTGCTCAAATGTTTTGAAAACTTGGTTTTTAGAAATTACGAAATAAACATGCCCGTCAATTCCAGATTCCCCAATTTTTGTTATGTTGCAGGTCTTTAGTAGTAGAACAATAGTCAAATTGGACTTATAGTCGAAATCGACCTGCGTGACCTTGTTTCGGTGTCGAAAGGTTTATAGGTCAAAGGTCACCGATCCCCACAAATGGGGTATCATTGGAAAGGTCTCGGTGAGAGGATTCCAAATATATATACTTTGTTGGGTGTATGACCACTATCTCATGTTCCAGAAGCAGAAGAATGAAAATCTGCAATTCTCCACAATTTAACACAGCAAGCAGATTGAGAGCTAACATGCAGTAGATGGGCACAAACTCAGAAATATTCTTCGGTCTCTGGAAATTCAGGGAGTGGTCATCCACCGAATAAAGTATATATATTCGGAATCCTCTCGTCGAGACCTTTCCAACGATACTTCACTTGATAATAAATCCCAATTACAGTTTCGAAAAATTAATTTTAAAATAAAATGAAAATTGTATGAGTTGAACGCCAAGGGACTAGTGAAAATTTTTAATATTAATAGAATCTAAACCTCGCTCTTACCCCTCCTTAAACTGAAATGGAACTCGGGAAAAAAACTGCACAAGCTACACGGTTATGAAGAGAAAGAGACAATGTGTAGAAATGAAGTGGAGTTTTTTTCTGGAAGTGTGGGCATGAGAAGAGGAAATTATTTATGTTAAGAGTGAAAGTGGTGAAAGTGGAGCGAAAGTCAATTTTGGTTGGGAAAAAATTAGTTATTATTATCATCGTTGAAGGTGCATGGATAATGTGCTATCGCACTTTTTGTTCGTTCCGGGAACTCATATTTGTGGTCAAAATGCAAATTTAGTACCTAGTATTTAATCCCGTCTTTTATTTTCAAAAAATTTAAAGTTTGACGTTTTAATATGACAATGTGATACAGTTGTATTTTGAAAATTTACTTTCTTTCTACTCAATTTTATTAAAAGAATCTAGTTACGTTACTAATTTTTGTAATTAATTTTAATTTTTACACTTCTAACGCTTAAATTTGTATGGCAATTCTATATTTTTTTTGCTTTTGCCAACTCAATCGGATTATGTATCGATCTTTATCTTTATTTCGAAGCCGGTGAAAATTTTGGAGTTGGGTAATATCAAAATTTGAAAAAAATAAAAATATGAAATAAAAATTGCTGTTAAAATTTTAGACGATTTTGAGACACTGCTTTCACACTCCCTCTTTTTAGAAAATTTGCATGATTTTTGTAATTTTGTAAATTTACAATTTTATATTTTTTGATATTTGGATGATTTAAGACTTACCATAATATTCGAGTCGGATCCATTACCATCGCTAATTGACGACCCCATAGCTCCGTCCAGCTGGTACTCGAGCTCTCCAGGACTAATGTCATCCGCTTGAAAGCCTGAGTTGTGATTCGTCTGTGCCTGCAGACGTCGCAACCGCGCCAAGGTTTCCGCGGACGTGGGCGTGATGGCGTAAAGGACGCGATCGGAGGATGTAGCGGGAGAATTGAAATAGTGCCGCGTCGTCGTTCCGGACGCAGAACCGTCGGCATTTTGGAGGCGCAAAGTTCTAAAGAATCGCGTGAGGCCGAGGCGTCGCCCCAACTTGTGCAGATTCACCAACGTTCTGCAACCCACAGTTTCATCGCCTGTAGAACCACCTGCAAAATTAGAAGGAAAGGCGATTTATAATTTTATTGCAATTTACAGACCAAATAATTGAAAAACACGTGGAGTGTCCTATCAATAAAATTTCATAGTTTTTAGATCTAGTAGTGTCACTATATATCCTTAGATATTTTTTAAAGATACTTTGTCACACTAACAAAATGTCCGAAAATAATTTACGATTAATTCCAGCGTTTCGAAAAGGAATAATCTCGTTCACCCCTTTGAAATGGATTATCTATTATACTTTATAATAAATATGTTCATAACTTTTCAATTTTGGCGTCTTTCTCACACAATTTTTGACACGACTTGGAAATCATTTATTCTCAGATCATGCAGTTTATAATAACTGAACATGTATGCATTAACAAATTTTAATCCTGTTAAAATTCAAGCATGTATGTATAACTTCGTGTTTTCGTCTTTACACTGATTTGTGTAAGATTCTTGTATTTCTGAGATAAATCTAGTTGATAAAACTTTCACTATAAATGACTCCCCACGGACTTTACCCCTGACACGTTACTGGAGGGGAGTAGGATGGAATAAAGTAGAAAATACCAAAATTTTTTCCGAAAACAAAACAAGTCGAAGGCAAGGAAGAGGCTGTGCATAAAATACGTGATTTATATGATTTGTGGAACCGGTGAGGGCATCTCAAATTCCAATTGACCCCATTTCAGGGGTCAAAATTTCCCTGGTTAATCACACCCGTTATGTGAGGTCCCTAAAATAATCCCAAGATGATGGTCGAATTTGAGACATGCGTGTTCCTATTCTATTTATGACTTTGTATTTTGTTACGTAATGTTAAGAAATACAATATGACTCGACACTTGTAAAGATCTGATAATAAATTTATGACAAGTGCGACCATTCGTCTGGCATCAATTAATAAATGCTAACAATTTGTGTATTATGTATTCCTCCACCAAATTGGTAAGAGTGTGACACGGGCATAATGACAATTTAGAGAGAAATGTTAATACTTGCTTATCATGAATTACAAATTTATGGTTAATCTGTAACAGGATAAAGCCAAATTTTAATATCTCTGAAATAAAGCTTATTTTGAACCATTTGGTATTAAAGTTGCAACCCATGCTTCGTTATGTAAGAATCTGTTACCAAATTTCCTAGTGTGTAATTCTCCTCCTTCTCTCAGACCCGATCTTTTCCTGGGAGAAAATCGGATTTTCTTCCAAATAGAAGTCAAGAAGAGGAAGAAAGTTGTAAGGTTCCAAAACATCGTGTTTTCATGCAAAATACAATGTTGTTTCTCACACAAAGTATGTTTTTCATGTATTCTTCATTCACAATAACAAATTTCTCGACTTTATATATTTTAGAAAACCTTTTCTTACAAATACTCCAAGAAATTCACTTTTTAGATTATTAAAGATAAGCATAACAATATTCTGATTTCCATCTTTAACACGAAAACATCGCGTAAAATGAAATTCTCAAAAAACATGATATTTTAGGAACCCTGTTGTCTAGAGGTCGAAAGGGGCAGACTTGTTAATTTTTGGAAGTCTTGTGTGTGAAAATTACTTTCCCCCTCTACCTTCTTCATCTCCCTTCGTAAAGTTAGAAACGGAGCTGTTTTGGCTACATAAATCTCTCCCTCTTTTCTGGTGAAAGTGTATGATAAACTAATATTTCACGTTAATCCTGGTCCAGACTACACAGCTTATTTGGTGCTAGGAAAGAAAGTACGTAATAAATAAATTTGGTTGACTAGAACCATAACCAAACCAGCTAACTGACTAATCTTCCCTGACTTTCACTCACTTTTAGGCACCGTAAAATAAAGCTGAGCAACCGAAAAGTTTATTTCATCACCGTTATTTTTTAGAGGGGCGTAAATGGTGATTGATTTTAAGTAGCAATCTACACTAAACTGCGGAAACTTGTAATTGCAAGGTTTTTGTCGTTAATAGATAATTTAGCTAATAATTAACAATAATCTGCCCCTTTCCTCTAAAGTGAAGTACTCAGGAAGAATTTTTTTACGCGAAACGGCAAATTTTTTGCTTTGTATTAAATTACTTCTTCACTGGAATTACTTGAATTTCACTACAAAGTGTATCAAATGGAAGGTGTTTCTTCAAATAAATTTCAAAAGTTACTTGAATTTCTTATTATAATTTTTGCTAAACTTTTTTACTTGAAAAATCCGTCCTGAATATTAAGCTTAAGCCTGAAATAAAATATGAATCAAAAACTGGACATCACGTCAAAAAAATTAGCGACACATATAAGCCGAACAGATATAATATAATTTATTTAGGTGACGTGTTTGTTTGCAGCTCCATTTTTTGCATATCCCATACAATTTATCAGCTATGTAACTCCCACGTACACACGCCTGACTCGTAATTAACCTTAAAAACCCTGATAAATTTACAGTCTTAAAGCCTAAACTTGTAACGAATTAGAATTTACTCTTCCGTCATTTTCCTACTTTCTCCTCTAAAAATATTAAACCATCAACAAATGTCGCTCCTTCTTTAATTGTGCATGTCTGTAGGTTCCCTCTAAAACATTTTTTATTTCGTACATATTCACATAAAACGTAACTTAACTCTGATTACTTACGCTTCTTCCTTGCTCGCAATATTTAATTTTGTTGCTTAAATTCTAGGCGAGTTTTATTCCCCCGCGGCAAATTTAAACCTCATCTCATTACGTACATTCACCTCTAACAAGTCGGGTTCCCCAATTTCAGTCGCTCTTCGCCATCCCATGACAATAAAATTTGCGGTTGTTTTAATTTTCTTGTAACTCGTCCAACGTTACAAGCTGTACATGTTTTATGAATAAAATACGGCGACGAGGGTAAGATCCACCAGCAGCGGGGGAAAGTTTGGACATTAAAAGAATTCTACTCCCTGGAAAAGTAAAGGCTTTCCAGCACAACTCTAGATTTAGCTGGGGAATGTCAACTACATACTCACGCATCAAGCGGAGAAAGTGAGTCGAGCAGAATGCCTTTTTTTGTTGAAAACTTGGTAAGAAAATTTGATAAAAATTTGTTACTGGAAAAATTGATTGGAAGGAAATCTTAAAGTAAAATCTTAATCGAATTTTATTAATAAAATGTTGTATCCCATGAATTTAGCTTTCACTACAATTTTTAAATTTGCGATAAGTATCTCAAATGATCCGTTTGCCTGACCCTGGGAGTCAATTCTGAGCATTGGGTCAAATTTGACAAATTTTCTCTTTCAGAATTTCGAATTTTTCTTGCATGAATGTTTCTCCTCCATGAATAAATTTGGGTTCAAAGTGACCAGACGTCGTAATTTGATGTCAAAATGTACGAGATAAATATTCTGAGCAATCGTAATCGAACTTTATTAATAAATAAAATGCTGTATCCGATGAATACAGCATTCACTATTTACAATTTCTAAATTTGCGATAAATAAAATGGTCCCGAGAGTAAATTACGAAAGGCGATCAGACATGGTTTTCACGACTTCGCGCTTGAATATCTCACGTGCAAATTCGAATTTCGAGCTGATTTTGATAGACAAGGAAGATAATACTCTCAAGAAGATCTTTCTAAATTTTTAAGGCGATAGCTTCACAAATGTCCCCTCCAGAGCCCCCAGAGTTGGAAGGTGCCAAAAACACACTTTCCAAACTTAATTATTCATGTGGCAGGATAACCAAAGAGGTCAGAGGTAAAAAATTATTATTATTATAACCCTAGATAATGATTGTATCTAATCATGGAAGAATCCGTAATGAATAAAATAATGTTGGCCCTCCAGCATCGCTGATACTTTTCCATGAAAAGTGATAAATCGGACGGTGCACCGGGAAATTGACCTCCTGACCTTAAAAATGGACCGACTGGGTGAAATGAAGATTGAGGGCAAAGCTCAAAGTGTCCTAAGTAATATTAAATTAAACAGTGAAGATGTTGGGTAAACAGTTTTGGAGAAGGACCCGAGCTAATCAGCTGACGTGGAACCCTAAAAAACTTTTGAACTTATTTAGAAAATTAATAGTCAAATTTTGTTGAAAACAAATTTTAATAACTTTTTTGTGTCCCCTGCTGCAGAACTATTTTACCTACAAGGTACAAGCGACAAAATAATAAAATTAATGGGTTTTGAATAGTTAAAACGCTTTAAAGTTCCGCTTCAATTTCGAGGAGAACTTTTGTAAAAATTTTATAGGGTTTGATGGAAATTCATTTCCTGGGGTGTAACCACTTATCAAAATTTTATCAAAAGTACTTACAGTGCAATATACTATATGTACCTTGGATATAAGCAGCGTTAGGGATTTTTAGTATCAAAGTCCTAAAATGTGGGGGCCTTAAAAGTCGAGGAGTTGCGTTCATGAGAGCATTCCATAGGACAAGTATGAAATTAGACTACGAAAGGGACTTAAAAGATAAGCACGAGACAAAAGTGGTTTTATATAGTGAAAAGCATGCTGAGTCCTTTGATAATAGTCGCAAAGACGATTTCTGCACTAGGGCCTCAGAAAAAATCTTTTGGTCGACGCCATTTTATAAGAACACTGGTTTGGAAAACTAAAAAATGACACCTCTGCAAATTTGACCTTGTCTCATGCCCCAGAGTGCACAACACCGGAAGCCAAATATGTTTACCTATAGTTCGAGACATGGGCTTTCACATAAAAAAAGTTAGAAATCTCTCTAGCCAAAAACCATCGCATAATTAAATTATGAATTTGTGCAAACCATCTCTAATCGCCTTTTGTATCAGGAAAATTTGAAAAACTTTCTCTTTCAGAATTACGAATCTTGTTCATATGTCATTTATATTTCTAGTCCATGAATAAATTTAGTCCAAAGAGATCAAACGAAGCCATTTGATGTCAAAACGCACTAGATAAGTATATATTTCAGCACTTACGTGGATACTGATAATGTGGAAATCCTGAGACGAACCCGTACTGACTGTTTGACCCTGAATGAGCCGAAGTGGTAGTTGAGGAGGAACACGAACCGGAAATGGTGTAGGACGACAACGAATTCTGTGGCAAACCTTGATTTGCTTGGGACGAAGACGTCGAGGAATTCGAATTCACGGCGGACGAGGAGTTTCGTCCCCTCAAAGTGGAGAACTTGCCCCCCGTCGTGGACGTGGTGGCGCCTCGATGGCGCGGCGAGAGGATGAAGCCATAGTCGCGGCCACCACTCGAGCACAAACCGCTGGAGGAGGATCGACCCCCGCGACCAAGACGGGAGAGTGTGGCGCCCCTGCGAAAAATAATGGCGAATTAGATAAGAGAAAGTACAATGGATTCTGCTTTCACTCTTCTCGTTGAAATTGCGATGGTCGAAGAGTGCGTAATAATAATAATACTCGTAATGACTGCGAACTCACGCACTCATACATAGCTTCTCTGCTTTCTTTGTTTAAGTAGTGAATCGGATGGGATATCCGGACAAACTTTCTCCTTTTTGGCTGTCATTGCAATATTTTTGCCAATTTTGTTGTATGTTTTTTTTAGGATAATTTATCTGCATTGGTTCCACCCACGTGGTTGAATTTATTACTGGTCTCATTTGTTCAACAGTTCTGTTAGTTTGATATTGGGATTGTTGGCAAGATGTAAATACAATGTCCGTGCGTACTAATTTTGCTAATAAAGCCACCGAGAACGGATTTTTTGAAAACATCGTCAGTAATTGTTTCCCAGAAAGCTTTTATTTTTTCAGGCGTTTTTTTAAAATAAATCGCTTTGCTTATTTTGCATTTTTATCGAACTGTTATAAAAATTCGAAATACCAAAATGAAAAAGTGTACTTTTTCAACATTTTGACTTGGTTTTAATCGTTGTGCATATGTAAATTGTTCACTTAAAAATTTGATAGAGCTCAAAGTCACAATATGCAATTTGCTAATAAACCTAATGTAATGGAAGTTAAAGATGAATAGCTTCCCCAAGTGAATAAAATTAAATCAATTAATAAACTGCAGAGTTGAGTACACATCCGAACCGAATCCGAACCGAATCCGAACCATCCGGTTATGAGATTTTAAAATTACTGAAAAATTCGGATTCGTTTTAACTGGATTTTAAAAAGTGTTCAACCGACTTAACTTGGATGCACTACTGAACTGCATATATATGAAAATGAACAAAGTGATAAATAATAAAACTTTTCAACAATCCTGCTTTATAAAATGGGTTTAGTTTCACAAAAAAATAATTATCTAGGAAAAACCAATTTAATTTTTCAGATACAATTCTAATTAAAAATCAGAAAACAGACAGAACGAAAAGAATTCAAGAGTTACACTGGGTGAAAGTTTTAAAGCTTTGGTAACAAATCTGCATGATTCCCGTACCAAAGAAAATTGTAGCAGACCAATCCGAAGATAGTTTTATGCTAATACAAACAAATATGTGATGCGCACAGGCCGCAGAAGCAATCAACATTGCAAGATAGCAGCTGGAATGGTGCGTTAACATAGATGGGATAGAAGGATTCCCACTTCTTAACAGTATCCCGACACGCTTCCGACGTCCCTGAGGACAGGTCTGCGTAATGATAACTATTCAGATAAGATAAGCCCTCATTGTACTCTCCAACTTTAAAAAGTTGTTCCCGGTGTACGAATCGTGAAATGAGGGGAGCGAGTAACTTTCTCCATAGAAGTAGATGCTTGGACAAAATTATTTTGTTAAAAGTGCGACTTTTGTGCGAAAGTCCGTGGAGTTGTACAGATTTCGCAAAATTGGTGGGTCGAACGACTACATTAATTTTCTCATTGACACTTTGTCCTATATTTGAATTTGGTAAGAGTTTTATATGCACAAATGTTGGAAAATATTTGCTAAGGTAGGTGTTAACTGGTTTACCTAAGTCTTGTCGAACACTGGGCGACGGGAGAGTCGTTATTTCTCTCGTCGTCATCATCATCGACATCCGGTAGGGGTTTCCGTCTCGGTGGAACGTAGTCGTAAATATCGTCACGGTCTCGGAGACAGCTCGACGGCTTTCAAAACAAAATACTTGAATTAAATACTTTCAAAAATGTGTGGCAACATTTTAAGAAATCTATTGAATCCAAAATTCAAACTACAAAGCAATACTTAAATTCCAGTTTAAACTGACCTGATAAACTCCCGGCGTATAAAGTTGTCCCCCACCAGCACCACTGCCACTACTTCTTCCTTTCCCCGACCTTCTCGGCGTATCCCAGCCACTACTTCCCCCCAACTTTCTCCCACAACTTTCACCACCCTGTAAAATATCCTGAGCGGATCCCGACCTCCCCGAAAACCCTAAGCACGACGGGTTCACCCCACCACTACCACCACCCAAACCACTCCCCATCCTCATATTCCCCACCCCACTTCCCCCCATCACTAAATGTCCCCCATTTCGCGCCAACTTTCTCCTCTCCTCCAGCCAAATTTCTCTCAACTGTTGAAGAACTTGTTGCTGAAATTCGAGCAGAGGCAGCCCCTCCCGCAGCCAGGTGGTCGAGGGGGGTGGCCCACCTCCTCCCGTCGTCATCGTCCCCACCGCCGCGGCGCCAGAAGATGATGACGACGACGCCGAGGACGAGTTGGTCGACGCGGGTTTATTGTTTGTCGTCAGGGAGGCGATGGATGACGGGTAGCCGGACGAAGAGGAGGACGCCGTCGACGTGGAGGAAAAAGAGGCGCCACCCCCGTTGTACGTCGACACCCCGTTATTCACCGTCGTAATGGAGGACGAACTGAATTCCATGGCGTATTTTGCAGCCACGGCGCGAAGAGCGATTTCGTCCGGGATCTGGAAAAAGAAGAAAAGAGATTATTAGCGTTTTTTTTTGTGACGCGTGGGTGGTCGTCGGATGTCGTGTAAAAGGATAACATTTTATGGAGGATTGATCTCATTAGGAGATTTTTATCACCAACTTGATTACACGTGTGCGTTTTTAATGTGCACTCGTTTACACACCTGTTTTCATTCAGATATGCAAAAATCTAGAATAACCACCACGAGCAAAAAATGTGGGGGCAATTACAGTGTAAAAAACAGGATCTAAACTCAGCCAGTTTAACAAACATTTCCTAAAATAAAGGGCTGTGCATACATAATATCATCGATATGAGGGGAGAAAGGCAATAGGCATCCTCACTCTCAATAATTTTATATGATTGTTAACGACGGAGGTACTATACAATTCTACAGCTTTGGTGGCAGTTTATCACCGAAGGGTAATCTATATACAGAGGCTAAATCCTGCTAAGTTCCCAATGCCAACGCTCTGGTAATAAAAATATTACCGGCACCGGAGGCAAATTTTTACCATCAGAAGACAACTTGTCACTATAGCGTTACCACTCCATAGAATTGAATACCTCCGCTGATAGCAGTTTGTTACCAGCGGAAAAATTGCCTCCGGTGTCAGTAATATTTTTATTACCAGAGCGTTGACAGTGGGGACTGAGCACGATTTAGCCTCTGTATATAGGTTACCCTTCGGGGATAAAGTACAACCAGAGCGGTAGAATTGCATAGTACCTACGCCGGTAACAATCCAAAAATTATTAAGAGTGCCCTCCTTCTCATAACATACATTTAGTTCACTAAAGGACACCCGTCAAAATCAATCCCACCCTTTCCGCATGTCCCCAGAGAGAGACACGCCGGTGGTAATAAAATAGTCTGAAGAAGGGGACGGATTACGGAGGAGGAGACGAGCGAGGTGTTATCATCCTCCTCACTTCTTGTCTCTCTCTTTAAACGACGTTATTCAACCTGATCAACTTTACAATCTGTCGTGCCAGGTGGCTCATTCAGTCATACGGACGATTTCATTTTATGCCTCGACTCAAAGTAGGATTTTATGTCGGATTTCGTTTTACGACCAAACTTAAACTTCTTTTGGAGGAACAGATATCGGCCAGCATAGAAAAAGAGCGGATTGATATTTTCCATACATATGAATGTTGACATACAAATATAAAGAATTTCCATATATTCAAAAAACTGACTTGTACTTAAATCCGTCATTAACATTACGTCGCTATTTATGGCAATATTTCTGAAACGGAAAACAATTAATTTTCAGTTTGACACTAACTTTTCAATTTATATGTCACAAAAGTCGATAGCTCTGAGTTATTTATGCATAGAGCTAATCTAACCGTCGTAAATGTATACGGCGTAATAAATTGTATGAACTTTAAGCAGGCTAAATAAGTTTGAGAATTTGAAACCAAAATAATATGTCATAAATATATCTGCATTTCTCCATTTCTCGGTAATGCGTCTGCATTAAAACCGTTTTACTCCAGATCAATAATGCATGCTCCACGCCCCAAAATTGTGAGTATAATTTTGAAAATTTCTTAAATTACATAAATGTTGATAATTTTGAAAATTTCTTAAATTACATAAATGTTGATAATTTTGAAAATTTCTTAAATTACATAAATGTTGATAATTTTGAAAACTTCTTAAATTACATAAATGTTGATAATTTTGAAAATTTCTTAAATTACATAAATGTTGATAATTTTGAAAATTTCTTAAATTACATAAATGTTGATAATTTTGAAAATTTCTTAAATTACATAAATGTTGATAATTTTGAAAATTTCTTAAATTACATAAATGTTGATAATTTTGAAAATTTCTTAAATTACATAAATGTTGATAATTTTGAAAATTTCTTAAATTACATAAATGTTGATAATTTTGAAAATTTCTTAAATTACATAAATGTTGATTTTATGTAAAGAAGCAAATAGCAGATTTAAAAATAATTTTGCATTGAAGTTTCAAATATCAAAAATTTCTCATAATTTTAGCCTCAAAATAAATACAAATTTTGTTATTTTTACTACATTTTATTCCGACCTAAACATAAAAATTCTTATAATTAACTTGTCACTGTATCCGATGAAAGGTGTCATTTTCAGAGTTGGATCGATAAAAGTTATGTCAGGGGGAATTTAGGGCTAAAAATAAGTTTGCAATTTCCCAAGGATCAAAAGTGCAGAACTCTCACATTTACTTTACAAAACTTTTTTTTGGAGATTTACAATTGACTAAATATAAATGTATGGCTTTGACGCGACGGTTTTGGTCAGAGCCGCATCGTTACATAACACAGGACAACCGAATTGTGACCGAATTGTGACGGTTCTACGACCACATCACACGGCGACAAAAAATTTGCGAATTTTTTTTTGCAAATTGTCCAGTATTATTTTTTATAAAATTTTCAAAAATTTATTTTTGTAAATTATTTTTGTAATATTTCGATTTTCTATTAAAAAAATATGTACCAGAATTTTTTAAAGTCAGATAAATAATTTCCTTCTGATTTGCGCCCACGTTTAGACCAACCCCGTTCGACCAGTGCGATTTTCCCACGGAGCTCATTAAGCCCACAAGCTGTCCAACCAAGACGAGAAATGTAACAAATCCAGCTTGCACCGACTTCGAGCAAAGTTGTACCGTAACGAGCAAGATTTTCCGAGTTGAACTCTTTTAGAATCTTAAATTCTGTTAGGATCAGAATCCAGAGAGTAAATTTTGGGAGAGGTTTCATTCGTGGCGAACATTTCTTAATCCTGTCGCATTATTCAGTTGGGTGAGGAACAAGGAGACCAAAATCCGAGAAAACAGGGTTTCCAATTGTTAGATAGGATCTCCATTTAAGAAATCAAGTCGTAGCCGGTTGGCAAGTATCAATGCTAATTTTTTTAAAGTTATGATTTCCAATTTGGACGTATTGCACGCCGTTTTGATTTTTTGCTCATGTTAATTACGATTTGAAATGCCTCTGAGATGTTAATTTCTTTGCTAATTCGGCATAATCCGACTGTGTACTTTAAACTGGATCCGATCGGATTTACGTATCGGATCCATGCTATAGTAAACGATCGAATAAAAAATCCGATCCGATTCGCCGAATCGGATCTACCAGCATTACTCCACTGTCAAATTTTGCAACACTAATCTTCTTCAAAAATGCATAAAATTGTCCGAAATGCAATCTTATAATCATGCTATTCTTTCGAATTACTAATCAATGCCCCTGGATTTTGCAAACCCTGTCCTCCAGGATATTTCTGCACGAAAGGAAGAAAATGTAAATCAGCCTCCACTTTATTTCCTGCTTTATTTCCTCCGTGTTTGATTTCATTGCAAATTCATTGCAATGACACCGTCGGATTACTAATCAGTCCTTTCTCTCAGTCAGTGGCAACTGTACCGGGAGCGCGAGACAGACACAGCGAAAGTGATAGTGAACGAGATCTTGTCCAGAGTTAGTGGTATGCAAAATATCGTTCACCTATCCAAAACCTGAATCTGCCAGCTAAACGACATGTTTCCCCGAATATTAAACACTGAAAATCGGATAAGATATTTCATTTCGTCAATGAAAATAACATGTTGTTCGGTAAATTTAGTCGAAATGAATGCATATTTTATGATTTTGCAGAATTGTGGTCACCAAAACTCTGCAAAGTTTAAACCTTAAGGTGGTATTGTATAAGGGTTTTGAGTTTGAATTTTTGTATCTCAACTTTCCCTTCTTCCATGTATTCAATTGGCGACTTTGAAACCTGTTCATCTCCGTGCGTTTTTTAAAAAATTAAGATTTTATTGCATCCAAAATTCGAAAATTTTTAGGTTTGCAAAGTTAGGAGGCTAGAATTTTATTTTATTTTCATTCATGTGAAAATAGAAATAAAATAGATAAAAATATTATTTTGAAAATCTATTTGCAACATCTTCCCCATAGTTTACCTTGTGTCTGATCGATAACAAATATGAAATGAAATTGATATTTTACAGGAAAGTTTGCGAAACCATCGCCTTCTCTGCGCACCTTTTTTTCCTGAACTTAAACAAAAATTAATGTTTTTCCCGATCTTAAATAGACCTCGAAATTTATTTGGTGGCTAAATTTGAAACCAAAAACCAAAGGGAAAGAAAAACGATTTCCACATGTAACTCATCATCACAGTGGGAACTTCCCACTGGGAAGAGGAGAGAAAAGTAAGTGGTGCGAACGACGGTGCGAATTCTGTCTGGGATAAGATATGATCCCATAATTCAGAATTAAAGGGGAGTAAAACGACAAAAATCCCACTTTTTTATGTGATAAATTGCTAGAAAATGGGAATGGGCATTAATTTCGATTCACCACGAGCCACACTTTCACGCACCTGACTAAGACCAAATAATTCTCTATTTTTATCTAGAATTCTTAAAAAATAGAAATTTTAAACATTTATAATTCAAAAATGGGTGGTCATTTAGTTGTCGTTTGATATAAATTCGAGATCATGAATTTTCTATATATTCGGATTTGTTGAAAATATATGCAATATGCAATTAAAACATATCAGAAGTATAATAAATGAATGAATTCTTAATTCTGAATGAATAAAGTATAAATTCGCGAAATGTAATATTTTAACTGGTTTTTAATTTTTTACTTATTTTTAACATATTTTACATGCTCTCCGAATTATCTGATTTTAACTTAGTTTTAGCCTCGATAATATATTTGTAGTTTTGACGGTTTAGTTCAACAAATCTTTTTTTACATGTAATTATTTAACAGCGGAATCCTCTAATTCAACCGTTTTACATGAAAACTGTTCAATATTTGATCTAAATGAGTCCATGTCGTAGTTGTGAAATCTATACTGAAGTAAAGGAATCTTATTCGGCAACTAAATATACCACAAGCTGACACTCCACTAAAATTTTCAGAAAATCGACCACACCCTGTATACATGATACCTTAAGGTTTCGCAATA